TACTAAATAATACCACACTACTCTCCCAGTAACACATAAAATATCTGGCTTATTTTGTCTATTTTTCTTAGTAAAGTCTAACTTTAGTCAGGATCTCCAACCACTCCCAAAGTGATTTAAGAAAATTAAAAAACTTTAACTCCAAGCATTCTTCTCCATGTTACATATTATTATTATCTACATTTTTTCTTCTTGTCGTAATTTTCTCAGATATTTCTTCTATATTACTAATTCATAGTTGCAGTACAGGATACTGATGAAGAGTATAGACTAGAGGTTCTCAACCTGGGGGTTTAACGACCCTTTCACAGGGGTCGCCTAAGACCATTGGAAAACACATATATAATTACATATTGCTTTTGTGATTAATCACTATGCTTTAATTATGTTCAATTTGTAGCAATGCAATTGGGGGTCACCACAACATAAGGAACTATATTAAAGAGTCCCGGCATTAGGAAGGTTGAGAACCACTTGTATAGACTCTCTAGATTCAAATCCTGGGAATACTATTGTCAGCTGTGATTTCTCAAACACATTGCTTAGTCTATTTTGGCCTCGTATCTCCATCTGTGAGTGAAGATATCGTTAGTAACTATCCCATATATTTGTTATAAAAGTAATATATATATACTTTCAATAATTTCTAGCACATGTGAATACATTAGCTATCACCCTTTCATATTTTATTTGCACTTAATTTTTTATTCCTAGATTAGTAATTACTGTTAGGTTTTTGGAAAATTAATGCTTGATTAGGCTTATTTATGCTTATTAATTTCTTTGCTTACCACTGCTTCTTGCATCCTTCTCCTTCCTTTATTAACATAAATTTCTAACCTTCCTGAATTATGTCTTCTAATCATTTATTTAATAAGTATGTGTGAATAGTAATTTTTTAAATCTAAAAATGTTTTCCCTTTATTTATTTCTGAATTGTGGCTTAGCAAAGCATTGAATTTTAGGTTGAATATTTTAACTCAGCAGTTTGAAGATTTCTTGTTTCCTTCCTCTATTACTGCTAATGAGCAGCACCCCAGCAGTCTGTTTTAGTTTGCTGGAAGATTATATTTTTTCTTAGTGAACTTTTAAGACATTTTCTTTGTTTTCTTGTATGATTATTTTAAAATATTACACTTGATATATATATGTGATATATATATGTATATATGTGATATATATGTGTGTGTGTGTATATATATTTAAGTATAAGACTATATTTTCCATTCATTGTGGATAATTTTCAACTGTTATGCTTTATCCCCTACAAACTAGTTTATCATGTATTTCCTATGACATACCAAAACATATAGTTCAATGATTTTCATAGTTGAGGACATTGAAACCCAGAACTTAAATGCTTTTTCTAATAGCATAATTAATGAAAAATTGAATAGCTATAATAAATCAATAGATGAGTATCTTGGTAATAATAATTATTATATTTAATTATATATAATTATTGTTATTACAGAAATGAAATACTTTTTTGAGGAAAAACAACAATCTATAAATCATCTTTAACTTATACTAGTAAAACTCCAAGCCAGACAGAAAAGGTATGTGAAAAATGAAATTATCCTGAAAAAACAAACAAACAAAACAGTTAAATTGAATATTTTAAGATACTGTACCACTTCTGGCACCAGCATGCTGCAGTTACAGTGCAGGGGTTGGGGGGAGTGGTGGTTCCAGAGGCAGACTGTGGAGAAGTTTTAGGAGGTCCCAGGAGGGAGGTCCAGCAGCTCTCCCTAAGTTCATGTGTGTCTGTAGGCTCTGACTAGCGTTTTGCTGATATTAATTAATGATTTTACTTTGGGCATTCAAATGATCAACTTTTGAAATAGGTTTAATGGTGGTTCTTAAGAAGAAATGTCCACATTCTAATCCCTAGAATATTTCAAAGATTAAGTAAAGCTAATATTTGATGATCTGGTTAAGTCTTAAAGGTTATTCTTATAACTGAGAGGCAGAAGGAGTTTTGAGACCTAAGAAGACAAGGCAATGTGACTATAGAGTGATATGGCTACAAGCCAAGGATAACTGGATCCATAAGAAGCTGAAAGAAGCAAGGAATAGATTCTTCCTTAAAACCTTCAAAAGGTGAATAGGCCCAACTTGTGGGGCTCAGTGGTTGAGTGTTAGCCTATGAACTAAGAAGTCACAGTTTAATTCCTGGGCAGGGCACATGATCAATGATTCTCTCTCATTGTTGATGTTTCTTTTAAAGGTGCTTATTAGGAGGTAGGCCTTTGGAAGGTGATGAGGTCATGAGGGCAGCCTATTTGTGAATGGGATAGGTGCCCATAGAAAAGGGATCACAGTCAAACAACTCCCTGGCCCTTCTGCCATGTGAAGTTACAGAGAAGAGAAGACCATCTATGAATTAGGAACCAGACAGTAGGTTTACTGACATCAGACAGTAGGTTTACTGACATCTTCATCTTGGACTTACCAGTCTCCAGAACCATGAGAAATAAATCTGTGCTGTTTATGCCACCAGCTTATGGTATATTTGTTATAGCAGCCTTCATGGATTAAGATAGGCTTCTATTTCTCTTATAATTGTCCAGTGTTTCACATCACTACTGGTGCTACTGCTGAATTACGGCACTACTGAGCCTAAAGAATGGGGTGGAATATAAAATGGGTAGAATCCATAACCTGGCAGCTTGACCAAAAGTCTCATACGGAGGCTGGGTTCGTCTGGGTGGAGGCACCTGTAACCCACAGGGACAAAGAGGGCTATTCCATCAAGTACCTATTCTGGTATTTAAAAGATGAGCTGATTTTGGAACTAGAGAGGGTAGGTGGTATCATAAACAATAGGAATGGGATGCAGATCCGCACCGACACATTTTTGTTTTATAGTTTATACCAGGTCTTTGCCATTTTTTTATTGATTCAGACTTGTATTTGGAGCATCATACATCAGAGCCTTCTTTCAAGGCAGTAGGACTCTCACAATTATATCATAGGAAAAAAAATGTCAGCTTCTTTAAACTGTAGAGGTGGCTACATTGCCTGATTCTTTATGTCATATATAGTTTATAAATAATCATAAATACCTTCTGATTATATATTTTAAAATGTCTTCTACTAGCTCGGGAATTATAATAGAAATAAATAATAATTTCTTTTAGAAAAATTAATTTAGCTCATGCCATTAACTATATTGCTGCGTATACAGTATCTGTTTCTGTGGTGTTTGCCAGTAAGTTTAGATAAGTAACAGTGAATGATAATATACAACATTCTCCATCATGTAAGATTCCAGATATGGATTGGCACTTTCATTTCAATCTCTGATATTTGAAGACCTCCCTGACTCACTTCTATTGTCATTAGGTCCCAATTAAAGGCCCCGGATTTACTTCAATTGAGCATCATGTGGAGCTATCCACAAACCATGGACATGATTTATTACCTACTCAAGGTGATTTCATGAGAAAGACACACTGATACCTAAAAGCATAATATCATCTACTCAACAGATCAAGTGCGCACATTGAAGTCACCCTCAACTCTTCGCTGTCAGTAACCTACCACATTCAAATGGTACCAATTTACCACATGCAAATGTAACAAATTGTACTTGGTTTTATTTCTTAAGTGTCTCTAAAATCCTTATGTCTTCTTTTTCACTGCCAAACATCCTTACTATCTCTCACCTGGACTATGATTAAAATAGAATAGTTCTCTCTCTCCAAATTCTTTCTTTCAGTCAATTATCAAAAAATTTACACTTTTAAGAAATAAAAATGTTTTTCATGTACCATCCTTCTCTGTTCTTAACCTTTCCTGAATCCCTGTCTATAAAGAATAAAAAGCCTAACTCAAAAAACTATTCATAATATGGCCCAAAACTTCTTCCTAATTTGTTTCCTCAGCACTTCCAAATTATTTATAACCTCATTAGTTTTCACTATTCTCTACATCTGTCATACAAGGGAACATTACTAAGCCTTTATACTTGCTATTCTCTTTGATAGAGATATTTCCTTTTGTTTCTACTTGTTGAAATTCCATTTATCTATTACATTCCAGCCAAAGACCCTTCTCCTGTGAAGCTTCCCATGACTCCTCTTTTATTCTACGCTCCCATGACATGATATGAAGAACAGTTTTTACATTTTGTGTTAGTAATAGGTCATTTGTCTCTTTCTTACTCTAAGCTGTGAACAGCACTACAGTAATACCACAATGTCTTATATACCTTATTCACCTTCATATCTACACTTTTCCCATTTAATACTTAGTACATAGTAGGAACTACATAAATATTTTTGTTAGATGAAAAATAAGTCCACTTGAATCCACCTAAACTACTAAGTACAGGATACAATTAAATAGTTAATTGTATTCTGTATTCTGATACATTTTACAGAGATAAATCTCTGGAAGAAAAGTGCTTATAAATGAAATTGAAAATTGAACCATAACTCCATATTTTCCAAGTTGCTGGATCTCCCCTTTTGAAAAATTGTCAACCATTCTTATCACGTTTTTATATGATCCATGACAACATAGAAAACAACCTTTAAGCAAACACTTAATCACTTCAGGGTTTACTATATTTAAAATAAAACTGTTATGATTCCTTTCATAATCTTGGAAATATAAATGTAACATAATTATTTCAAATGGTAGCGTCAGAACTTCTTAGACTGTGGGATATATTACAATTGCAAAATAAAATGTATTCACTCTTTTCTTGTCAGAACTAACGTGAAACATTTTCCTTCAGTGATTGATGTATTGAGGGCACTGACATGTTCAGTAGTTTATAAATTTCTAACTTTATATCATAGAGTTTTCACTTATTGAAAATAGTATTTTGTTGTTAACTGTTTTTCTTCTTGAGGGCAACTTTTATCAAATTGGATGACGACGTTCAGGTTGAGAAGTTTTGTATTTATTATCAAAATATCTTCTCTTGTGTATCTATCTCTTTTTTTTCTTTTTTCTCTTTTAAGTACTCTTCCAAATTGAATATTAAGTGTGCTGTCTTTGAAAAAATTTTCTAGTCCTGGACAGTGTAGCTCAATTGGCTAGAGCATAGTCCCATGCACAGAAAGGTTGTGGATTCAATTTCTGAGCAGGGCACACGCCTGGGTTGTGGACTTGATCCCTGGTAGAGGGCATACAGGAGGCAGCTTCTCGCTGTATCTCTCTCATATCGATGTTTATCCCTCTCTCTCCTTTTCTTTCTCTCTAAAAACAATAAAAATCTTTAAAAACAATGCTTTTTTCCTAAATAATTTTTAGAGAATTGAAGGACAATTTTGTTGAAATATTAGCTTCTAATGAAAAAATGTGAACTATTCATATTTCTTACCAAGTCATTTGAATAAAATAAATATTCATCTCATAAGAGGTTATTTAATAAATTTTACATAAATACACTAAATGTTAATTAATAAACAATATTTAAAATGTCTACAAAATATGAACACTAACATTAGCTCTTGGAAGTATAATAAACGATGATTCATAAAAATTAATTCCCAGCTGTTTTTGTGTCAGCTGTCCTTCTCCATGTATGAGAAACGAAAAACATTTCTTCCTAGCTAAAATGTAATAAAATGGTCACAGAAATGTCTTTTTGTGAAAGGGTAATCTCTGAGGCTATTTGGATTTTAAAAAAATTCAGGGAAATGAACTCATTGTTGCTGCTGTTTGTCAAAATTTCTTTGAAATGCATGTAGGTCTCTTATCAAAATAAACATGAGATGAATTGCAGAATTCACTGTTCATTTCTTCGCTGTTGGAGGTGTTGTTGGTTTTTCTTGTAGCTGTAAATGATGCTGAAATAATGCAGACCAGAATCTAATGAATTTATGCCAAGCAATCACAGAAGCAGCATACTTTCCACTGTCATCTTACTTATGGAGTTTTTTGGGTTTTTGTTTTTAAGCTACTGATACAGAAAAGTACATAGAATTCATAATGTTTGATTAAGTCTGGCATGCAAGTCTATCTTTTTGAGTACTACAGCTCTAGTTTCTGTATCTCTGTTTCTTTGGAAAATATTAGAACTTAAAAAGAGAGGATGCCTTTTAGGTAAGCTAATACTAGTACTAGATTATATTTAGAGATATTTGCTTACACACAAATCACTCAGTAAAAAGACACAGTAACAGCTTTTACTCTGAATGTACTGCCACAATGTATGAAACAAAGAAAACAAAATTCAATTTATCTTTTAAAGGGAGGGTAAACTGTTTGGATACCTAATATCAATGATTCATAAATTTACAATGAGAGATAATCTATTTCCAACATTTTCCCTATGAATACTTGTAGGGAATAGTCCATATGGCACTAAGGGCAGCACCAGCAGCTTATGTATACATATACTACTGAGGTTTATTTCTAGGGAGTAGGTGTCAAGTTATCAGCATTAATGATTGCAGTCGGTGAGGTTTGAATAACCCAGAAAAGTTTTAACAAACTAAAAGAATTCAGTTGCATTTACCCATCTAACCTGATGTGCACATTCAAAATTCTAGGACTTGTATAAAAGGAGGAGATCCAAATCCTGTAGTAATAACATTTGATAATATAGAATAATCCTTTGAATACAATGGAAGAAGAAGATAGAATGACTTTTCTCCTATTATATCCTTGCTTAAAATGTTGGCTTATTTAGAACACTGATTTTGTGGATTGAGGGGTATTTTATTCAGGAGTTAGAATTTTTAGGATGAAGACATTGGTCTGAGCCCTAACCGGTTTGGCTCAGTGGATAGAGCGTCGGCCTGTGGACTGAAGGGTCCCGGGTTCAATCCCGGTCAAGGGCTTGTACCTTGGTTGTGGGCACATCCCCAGTGAGGGGTGTGCAGGACGCAGCTGATCGATGTTTCTCTCTCTTCGATGTTTCTAACTCTCTCTATCTCTCTCCCTTCCTGTCTGTGAAAAATCAATAAAAAAATATATTAAAAAAAATTGTTCTGAAAAGAAAAAACATATTTCATGCTTAGATTAAAAAAAAGAAAAAGAAAAATGGTTCTAGTTTCTGTTAGTCTTTTGTCTATAATTATTAAGCACATGTCACTCAAATAAATTAATTTATTTTTCTCTAGAAAATAATTATTGAATATTCATAGATTACCTTTATTAGTTGAGTTTATTTACTCTGTAAGATTATTTATTATTGAAAATGTTTTTAAATCAGCTCATTGCTGTCTATGAGCCATCTGCTGTGCAATGTAAAAAGCAAACATATTGGTTAAATAAAGGTTTAGTGTATACATTTATATAACCCAATAGAAAGTAATATGGGATTTAAATTTTCAATGGTTCACATCATAATGCCTTAAAATCATCTTTGAATTATAGGACATAGAATATTTTCCTTAAAAAACCCTGAAGTTTTGCTTTCACATTTAAGTTATGAATTGATTTGTGTGCCATCACCATGAATGGAAGAGAACCTCCTTTCTCCAGTGATCTGAAATGCCACCTCTCAGTTGTTGTTTCTCTCTTTATAAAAATATCTCTTTCTGGGATCTCCAGTCTATTCCATTGAGAAGTTTGGTTTTTCCTTAACTTATAATATATTGTGTCTTCCCTCATTCTTTTGCTTTGTGTTTTAGATATACTAGGCTCTTTGCTCGTCTTTAAGCATTTTTAAATCAACTTATTAAAATTTACCACAAATCCTATGGTGGTTTTCTTTGAGATTGCGTTGAACCTTTAGGTCAATTGGGAAAAAATTGACTTTTTTTTTTTAATGCCTCTTCATTCACACATAATGTTTAATTAATTTATCATCTGGAATGTCTTTTAATATTTGTATAATTTTCTTTGTGTGGATCTTTAAACAAATTTGTTAGATATATTATAGGAACCTTATAGTATTTCTTGCTGCTGTAAATGCTATTCTTAAAAAGCTTTTCTCTAATTTTTGTTGATATCTAAACACAAATGCTTTTTGTGTATTAGTCTTATAACCAACCACCTGGCTGTATTTCATCAATTCCTACAAATTTTAGGTAGATAATTTTGAGTTTTCTCAATCATCATCTGTGACTAATGAGTTTTATCTCTTATCTCTTAATTTTTAGTCTCCCATTCTATTTCCAGTCTGATGCCACTAGTTAGACATTACAACTCAGTGTTGAATTAAAGCAGTTGAATCCTTGTCATATTTAAGACTTCAAAAGAGATGCTTCTAATATTTCACTATTAGCAATAGCATTTGTAATAGGCTTTTGTAAGATTTATCAGGTTAAATAATTTCATTTCTTGTTATTTTTCTAGGCATTTTTATCCTGTTTATTTTTTTCTATAATGGTATTTTTCTGCATCAATTAAGATAAATATATACATTTACTTCTTTTTTTCTATAATTTTATTGATAGTGCTAAATCATTCTTGGATTTTTGAGATAAATCTAAGTTGTTCTTTTTTTAATTTAAATGATTTATTGCTTAAAGTATGATATAAGTCTCCTTTTTCTCCCATTGACCTCTCCCCGGCAGCCCCCACCCCCAAGCATGTGCCCTCCCCCACCGTCTGTGTACATTGGTTTTTTTCATATGCACAAATAAAGGCCTTTGGTTGATCTCTTACCCCCTCAACCCCTGCCTTCCTTTATAGGTTGGACAGTCTCTTCGATGCTTCTATGACTCTGGTTCTATTTAGTTTCCCCAGTTTATGTTGTTCATTATATTCCACAAATGAATGAGATCATGTGATATTTGTCTTTCTCTGACTGGCTTATTTCGCTTAGCTTAATGCTCTCCAGTTCCATCTATGCTGTTGCAAATGGTAAGAATTCTTTCTTTTTTACAGCAGCATAGTATTCCATTGTGCAGATGTGCCACAGTTTTCTAATCCACTCATCTGCTGATGGGCACTCAGGCTGTTTCCAAATCTTAGCTATTGTAAATTGTGCTGATATGAACATAGGGGTGCATATATGCTTTCTGATTGGTGTTTCTTGTTTCTTGGGATATATTCCTAGAATTGGGATCACTGGGTCAAATGGAAGTTC